ATTGACTTTAAAGGTGGGGTAGGTAAGTTTCAGAAACCGGCTCGAGTGCACAAACATTTGAAAGTACACAGCCGAAAATAATCCGCCCCTTCCTTCAGACTTCCTTACAGAGCACCTCCTCCAACACACATGAACGCGCACATGACGTCAGCAGACTGGTGAAAGTGGCCGCCTGTTGCTGGCGAGTCATTGAAGTACTGCTGCAATGCACGCCCAATGACGACACGCCCAATGAGGGCACGAGATACATTTGTGCGTGCACGAGATGGAAGGCTGACAGACAGGGCGGCAATCCAGTCCGTTTAGCCGGGCCGGCTAAGCGGATTGGATGTACTTTTTACAGTACCACGGCTTCCACAGAGGACATTTTTTTATGTATTTTTTGTCAAAGCACTTAAGATATTCGTTGCTATCGGATGTTAAGAGCATTCCATGGAATATAACAAAAAGTGTATCTCGAGCCGGTTTCTCAAACGTACCTACCCCACCTTTAAGAAACAAACAGCCTCCATCATAGCTCTCCTGAGGGTTTCCTTTATTTTGTTACAAAACCTGTTGGCAGCTCATCCCTTAAAACAGAAGCCTCAGATTGATTATAATCAGGGGAAATATGAAGGGTCTATTTCAAGCTTACTATATAAATAAGTTATTGGGCTTTTTGATCAACTAAGATTGACTGACTTTATCTGAAACTACGCTTATTAACACATGAATACTACTGTGTAATATATGTTTACATATATATTCAAGAAGTACAATATAAGAAAAGCACAGGTTTCATGTTTGGGCCACATTCTATTATACTTTTAAAATTTGCTGCGGGCCAATTAAAAATAGACGAAAGGCCGCAGTTGGCCCCCAGGCCGTAGTTTGGGCACCCCTGCTCAAAATGAATTGTTAGCCTGCCATATAACCACAGTGTCCACAGTTCCATTACAGCTGTGGGGCCTTTGTTGCATCTCATGTGACATGAAGCCTAAAATGAAAAGTAATAATAATAATTCTAGATTATTTATTATTATTTTTTGTACTCAAATGTAAACATTTCATCCAAAGAGGTATTTTACTTTTGTCGATTGGAATGATGTGCTTAGCAAAAAAAATGACATCCTGCAGAGTGCCGCTGTATCTCATATGTATGCTATGTTTATTGGCTTATTGAATTAACAAATGAATTATATATATTTAGCTAGGTCTTAGAAATGGTGAGGTGCAAGTATGTGCAGTAACATTGATCTTAACAATGTTTTTAGATATATGTCCCTCTGTCTACAGTGAAGCACCTCATCTGAGCAGACGGGACAACAACCGGAAAGCTTCACCAACATTACAACAGCACCGGCTCTGGTGCGTTGCATTCATGAATGACAACCAATGTTACCCCCGTTACCCAGCAGCAGACACTCTGATGGTCAGTACTCACACCACACTCCCCCTCCACCGACCCATTGATCAGCATCCTGCCACAGTACAGGCCCGGGCACGTGGAACTCATGGCCACAGCTGCAAGGGAACACAAACTGCCTTTAATACAACCGTTTCACAGCACAATCCCTCTGATAATGGCTCGTGACATTCAGAGGTGGAAGAAGCACTCAGATCTTGTACTTGAGTAAAAGTAGAAGAGTGTAGGAATACTTTGTTACAGTAAAAGTCCTGCATTGTAAATGTTACTCGAGTAAAAGAACAAAAGTATTGACATCAACACTATACTTCAAGTAGCTAAAGTAAAAGTAGTCATTGTGCAGATTGATCCATTTCAGAATAATATATATGATATGTTTTATAATGATTGATCATGAAAGTGTTCTCAAAGCTGGTAAAGGTGCAGCTAGTTTGAATGACTTTGTATACTGCAGGGTAGCTGGTGGATTTACTCCAGGTGGAACTAAAGTCTGATTTCAACACTTGGTTAGATTTCACATCATTCATCCAGATCTGTGAAGTAACTCAAGGTATTAAATACATTGTAGTGGAGGAAAAGTACAAAGTAGCATACATGGAAATACTCAAAATTGTACTTATGTACAGAACTTCAATAAATGTACTCAGTTACTTTACTCCACTGGTTACGTTACGGTTTCAAACCTAGTTCCAAGATAACTGTAGGTGTTTAAAACTGCCATGCACTTATGTATCGGTTCATTTGAATGAAGAGCTCTCTATCATACATCTGGTGTCTGTGCAGTGTTTTTAGCTAGCATAGCTCACAGCTAGCTTAGCTAAAGGTAGTAAAACCACACTATGACGGTACGGTCAAGCTACCCTAACAAGCTAACTGTCATCAGATGAAAGGGGGATATAAACCCAAATGTAACTTACACATTGTCTCGCCGAAAATGAGTCAAAAACTGGTTTTCCGTCTCAGTGCTGTCGTATTTTCATTTAGCTGACACCCAAACCGGAAGAGGACGGAAACATCTTCTTCTTCTTTGGTGTTTTGCCTGGGTATGATGCTGCTTTGCTGCCCCCCTCTGGGACACGTCTATTACTGCGCCACATATCATTTTGAACCAGTCAGAGGTGGAAGAAGTATTCAGATTATTAAGTAAAAGTAGCAATACTACAGTGTAGGAATACTATATTACAAGTACAATTCCTGTATTAAAAGTTCCATCATATGCTTTTCTAGTTATTACCCGTCCCCTTGTCTGTTATGTAGCTTTTTCTGCATGTAAACGGTCTGCAGAGTCACACACCCTCAAAGTACACCCTGTGAGTAAAACTCTAACTCTCAGGCCCTCCCATTTGACATTCCTGCCCTCCCCCAATAAACACGTTTTATTTTATTTATAAAAAAACAAAACTGTGAATTTTAAAGGTGGGATTTTTTTTTCTTCCATTTTTTTCTTCTGGGGCCTATTGACGTCACTAAATCCAAATTGACCAATTTGCACATACACACACACACACACACACGCACACACACACACACACTCACTCACTCACTCACTCACTCACTCACTCACCCTCACCCTGAGCTCCGCGGTGCTCTGCCAGCCAGGAAACGACACCAGTAATCCAGCTCACACTGTCCGCAGCAGCGAGCCCCGCAACATCCCGCCAACACGGAGCTGACCAACCGGAACGGGGGGGGGGAGGAGCTCCAACAAGGCGTGTAGGACAGAGAGTGCAATACATATACTACAGAGATGCTGTATGAGAAACCAATGTGAGTTTAGAAAATTGCACATCTATTCTAGTAGACCTCAACAATGGAAATATGATCAGTAGAAATGGCCATGGCATGGGACCTTTAAAATGGAAGTCTGAGTACGAAATATATCTCAAATAATGTATGCACTGTCATTTCCCCACGTAACATAACAGTCTGCTTCCACCTTGGCGCACCGGTAACTTTCTCTGTTTTTGTTGTTTTTTTCATGTCCCTTTAGGGGCTCCGTAGAATGGAATAATATCCAACTTATGATTTTTCACGCCACACTGGTTGAAAATCAGTGCTCTAGACTCGAGTATGGATATCATCGTGGTCCAGCAGGTTGAAAAGACAGACACACGATGGATGAGGATGGAGATCCTCTGTGTGTGGGCCTTCAGCTCCTGCAGAGGAACCTCCTAACTGCTGCACCCTGTTCCTGCGCGTTGATGCTGAGTATACATCTTGTTCAACTGTATCTTTGGCAAACACCTTATAATGTCAGTTTACAGGGACATAGATGCAAAAATATATCACCAGTTACCATGGCAACTGCATTAATACGTCACAACATGAAGCTGTGAGCACGTTCATATAGGGGGCGTGGTTTCAGTGAGAGACTGCTGCTGAGGAGCTCGTGCAGAATTCGCGTCCACACCTGGGGTTTGTGCAGCTGGCCTGCTCTGGTTTCGGGCTGTTATTCACGCAGAAATGTTGGAGTAGAAGAAGAAAGCAACAGGGTGGGGGGTTTTTTTTGGAAAAGGAACCCGACTGGGTTTGTTCTCCTCTCCTCACAAAGGAAGATCCCAGGTGTACAGTGCGAACATGGTGCCATGAATGCCCCGCGGCTGAAGGAAAACAGGCGTCTGATGGAGAGGCTGCATTGTGGTGCGTTACTGGACCGCACTGTGGAAGGAAATGAACAAAAACCCGAGGTAACAGGAGAAGAAGGAATCAAACAATCCACTGCCGAATAACGATCGTTTATGCAAGTTGGGCAATAATTCTTAAAAAATGTAAATACGCCATTGTTTTATCAGAAATGTAATCAAATAACTTCCGGGTAAGTTATTAATGGCTTTTGCGAAGTGAGTTGATCGTTGCTGTTGTACACTGGCCTCTTGTATGTAGACTATAGGGTTCTAAATACTGATAAAGCCTTCATCAAATGCATTGTAAATGTGCTACAACATGGCAGTATCTTACACTGGATGTCTTTAATAATATGTTATACAAAATGAAATAAACAAATCACAACATTTGGTCAAATATGCCATCACAACTGGCACGTGTTATGTAAACAAATAGACCTATTTAAAAAAAAAAAAATTAATTAAAGTAACACAAGAGACTTCAAAAGCACATGTGGCCTAAATGTTGATAACCCAACAATTAAATCATTTCAAAATGGTATTCTAGATCAGTGGTTCTCAACTGGTCAGGCCTCGGGACCCACTTTTTTCCTTTGTCAATGAATCGCGACCCAACATTTGAACCGCTCAAATCTATTCAACAAAAAATCGTGCTGTAATATACGCTTTTCAGCATACAATATTAATTAAAGTGAAGTACAGTGCATATATCCCTTATATCCCTTCACAGAAGTATGCTTTTAAAAAAGGTTTAATCAGATTATGGAATCAAAGCTGAACTGTATCACATAAAAAGGCACACACACTGAAAACCCAACCCCAGAAGGGGTTCTGGGGGATTGTCCCCCAGGAGATTATTTAGAAATACTAACATATTCTGGTACACTCTGAGAAGAAATAAATCTATTACTACCAGACATATTAATAATATGTTATGCCATTGTTTGTTTTTCACTTTGTTCTGAAGCTGAACTTGCTGCTCCACACAGAGAGAAGAGTAAAGAGGAGAGTCTGTGTGAATTACTTTGTGGGTAAGGGTAGATAGCTCCCATTGTTCTGTGACCTGTCAATCATCAAACCGGGGGTACATTTTTTCCCCTCAATTTCTTTTCCTTCACTCACCCATTTTGACCCACTCCAAACGGGTCCGCGACCCACTAGTTGAAAACCACTGTTCTAGATGATAATGTATCTGCTAAATGTGTATGCATTTTTATGATGGGCCCCTTTGGATCCAGGGTCTGGGGACTTCATGGCGTACAAGGTGCATGGCCAGTAGTGTTTGTAATAATGAAGCATCATTGTAATACTCACAGAGCAACTGCCTGTTTTCACCAGTGGTGTAAAAACATTTGTCCGTAAAAAAAAGGAGCCGATGTTTTTCTCTAGATGGATCTTTGTTTTACTGCCGTTATAAATGAATAAATCCCATAAACTGTACTATGAAGGTTCAGTTGTGTGTATGTACACAGATTTGAATTGTCTTTTCTTTTTCTCCTGAGATAATGCTAACTGAAAACGTACAAATGGATGAGGAGGAGTTATCAGCAGCTACGTTGAATCCATGAAAGCACCACAGAGCGGCTGTAGTGTGAAGTGATGTGTGTGAGACCACACAGGACTTCTGTTTGTGTTGTTCGTGTGCTTCATCGATGGATTGGGTCTGCTAGCTCGGCCCTGCTGGGGGGTGGCAGCAACTACACAACCGCTGCCCCCCCGGGTCCGAGCTTCACCCACCAGCTGAACACCGCCTCACCTGTGGTGCCAAGGTGAGTCCCTCTGTCACCCACCTTCACATCTTTGCATGTGAGTGGGTCCCTGAAGGCAGCAACTGGTTGGAGTAAGTTGTAGTTAGCAAGTTATCCACAATTTCCACTAATCCTTAAAAAAGGAATACTGTAGCTAGTAGCTACAACGTCCTGGACCTGTAGCGTCCATACGCCTTACCTGGAGCTGCAGTCGCTTTAAGGTGACTCAAACACTTTTTTTATACCTGAAATGTAGAGTGGACTGAGATAAGAAAAAAAATCAGTCAACAATGTCAGTCGTGTCATAAGAAATTCCTGAAAACAACTCCCTCAGGACTTTAAACTAAAAATATCTCGAATTTTTGACATTGAATCCATCAGGGTATGAAAAATAAGGTAATACCAAATTCATGGCATTATGGTAAATAAAGGTAGTGTGATGATTTTTTATTATTTCGGAATACATAACACTCACCCTTTCTTTCTTTCCATTAATTGAATGTAAGTCTTGACACAAATACCTACTATAATAGGTTAACCTTTTTTCTTAAGTACTTTAGTGTTAAGATCCATGTGTCCCTTGAACACACGAACATTACATCACAATCAAAGAGGCCCTATTATGCTTTTTGGGGTTTTCCCTCTCCTTTAGTGTGTTCTATAGGTTTCTGTGCATGTCAATGGTCTGCAAAGGCTGCAATCCCTGTGTTCCCTTCTCATAAATCAAAACGGATGTGTAACAGCGTGATCTGATCTGATCTGCTACATAGGAATCTGACACAGCCTGTTTTTAAAGTTCTTATTTGAATAGTTGTGCTGTCACTGACCACTGTTTCCTCCTCTGGTTAGAGACACATTTAGCTGTTACAAACTGAATATGCCGAGTGCTGTCGTCGTCGCGGTCCCCCCCCCCCCCCCCAGTAGCTCTGCAGCGGTCCAAATATGCCTAAACGCTCCGGTGCAGCAGCCTAAGGGGGAGGCCTCCTGTGATGCTGCCTCTCAGCCTGGGGTTTATACGCCCAATTCAAACCGACCCTACCACCCTCCAACTCTGGGACAAAGTGAACTCTGTTTCTTGTCACACACCTCAGCTGAATGAGGCTCCTTATTTAAGGTGGAGGGTGTAAACCGGTGTAAACACAGCAGCAAGTTTGTGAGGACCCCCCCCCCCGCTCCTCTCTGGCAGAAACAGGAACTGTCGTAACTTTTACATAAATGTGAAAAACATGAACTGCACTGTGTTGACCAAAAATGATGTCTAAAACTGTGACTAGGGCATTAACAGAATAGCTCAAAGAGTAAGGTAACTCCAGCGTTATGCTCCCCTGTATCACACTGTATCATACTGATATCATGCCTTGATACTGTTTTATTGATGAGATTTGGAAAAACTCACATCCAATGTCTGGTAATATGCATATTCTTATGAAGATCACATGATCTTTTAAGTTTCAATCACAGGTTTGCCTATTTATTACATTAAGTTACTGTATACCACATTCACAATTTGAGAGCTGCTTTTGTCAAATAACAAGGTTATTTGACAAAAGCATGCATATATGCAGAGGGTCAATTGTTTAAAGTAGTATTGCTTTGCTATTGGTACAAAAACTATACTCTGAAATACATTGGTTTTAAACCAGTATTTTCCCTTGTAATGTATGGTTATTGTATATTTTCTATTTGAACCAATGGTTAGACTAATAAAATGTATGCTATGGAACCATATTTATGATATTTGGTTAGTGTTGGTGTTTTTAGCTTTGAATATTATGCATAATACATGAACTCTCACCAATTCTAGATGCACTAGTAATATTTTAGTAAATACTTATTGTTGAGTGTCTGGGCCCCTATTCTTAAGCTTTAGATAATGTATTGGGATGTCCTTTTCACATATCTCCATTATCTCCTATGATTGTATTGTATTTTTTACTTTTTCATATTCCTGAGGTATTTCATAAAGTTCTGTAAGTAAATGTAGGACCATACTTTTTCCAGACTGCAGATTGTGCAATGATTTAAGCCTCTTTCTTTCTTTCTTTTGGTCCTTAAGGGTTGTTTCCATAGTGACCAGCCTAGTGACCGCCATCACGGAGGCCACAGTGGGAAACACAGGAAACACGTCCACATTTGGCGGACAGAGAGGGGGCGAGCTGAGCGCGGCGTCCCCCCGTCGGTGCTGAGCGCAGGGTGGAGAGTAACTCGGTCCTGCAGGGCGTCGCCGTGGCCACACAGGCCCTGGTGCTGCTCTGCATCTTCCTCCTTTCCAGCCTCGGAAACTCAGCGGTGGTCATCGTCATCATCAAACACAGACAGCTCCGGACGGTGACCAACGCCTTCATCATGTCGCTGTCGCTTTCCGACTTCCTCACCGCCGTCCTGTGTCTGCCCTTCTCTTTCGTCATGCTCTTCAGTAAGGACGGTACCATGGATGTTCGGTGACGGTTTTTTCTGCGTGGCCAATGGATTTTTCAACACCTGCTTTGGCATCACCTCGACCCTGACTATGACTTGATTTCCTTCGACAGGTACTACGCCATCGTCAGACAGCCCCAGGCTAAAAATCGGGCCGCCAGAAAGCCACCCAGTTGTTGATAGCTGTGTGGTTAGCTGCGGTAATTTCTCCCTGCCTTGGTATCTGTTGGTCCGTAACCCTCCGGAAATCCATAAGCGGGGTTTCTACCACTGTATGTATGTGTTCCACTCCGGGACCCTCACGCATGGGGGACTACATATAGCATCTGCCTTATCGTCGTGTGTTACTTACTGCCCTTCTCCCTCATGTGTTTTTGTCATTATAACATCTGTAAGACGGTTCGTCTCTCTGAGATCCGAGTCAGGCCCGTCACCACGTATGCGTACTTGCTACGATTTTACAGTGAGATGCGAACAGCCACCACAGTCCTCATTATGATTGTTTTTATAATTTTTTGTTGGGGTCCATACTGTTTAATGGGGTTGGTTACAGCATTGGGAGACTACACATTCAACCCTGCGATGGACACAGTGGCTATCTGGCTAGCATGGGCAACGAGCCATCAAACCCCCTGATCTACGCCCTGAGGAACCCCAATATATCCATGCTAATGGGGCGGAGCAGAGAGGAGGGCTATCGGACCAGAAATATCGGTTCATACCTTTCCAACCAAACGCAGAACCGTGATGCTCGGATTAACCAAGCGGAAAGGATAAGGGGACCGCTACGTGACTCGTATAGGGGGTAAATAACAACAGCCGATTGTCCAGCTCGAGTCCTGCTAAAGGAGGTGAAGTGGCGATGTGGGCGTGTAAAAACCCCGCTGTGTTCTTCTGCAGGGACGCTCAGCCCGACACGGCCACACTCGCCAACTCTGACAGTGCTCCGAAGATGAAGACGGCTGACAACCAGCCTGTGACATTCTGAGAGAATCATTGTTTCTTCTCTGATCTGTATTTGCTGCTGCCACCAGTTTGTGGCAAGTTAGGAAATACCTGATAGTATTTATGTGTATTCAGTACACACACTCGGAAATTTTTAGGACTCAATCCACAGTTTGATCAGATTTTTGTTCTAGGAATCAAAAGGATTATTTTAGCTCTTCATGTATTACTATTATATTATGTTACACTGTGTGAAGACAAAGGTCAGGACTGTGAACACTCTATTTTGACTTATTTTATACAAGAACGTTCTGGAATTCCATCATTGATAAAGCATGGAGCGAAATGCAAAGCATTCGTGTTAAAAACATGACAAGCTTGTTATTGTGTTACAAAAGTCTTTGTGTCATTTCGTATGTAATTCAAAAGCTAGGTATTTCACATTTGAAAGAACCACAGTGAATTTCATCCACAAACCCTGGACGCAGGTGATACTGCAAGCCTGGTTGTTATTTGCAGTGCTGGGTTAGGGTAAAGGTATGGGTAAGGGTTATCTCAGATTTCCAAAGCACCTGCCAGTATGTACAGTTACCATTCCAGGACGTGTTCAAACCACCAACTGCTGGCTCTCAAACATCTGGAAACCAGCCTCATCGTAAACCAGTTTATACACTGCTCGAGCAGGGTTATAATGAATAGGATGGGTCCAAAAAACTTAAAGGCAAAGTTCTCAAATGTTTTCCCAAGACCGCTGTAAAGTTCTCGTTCTCTTTATACTTCCATGAAGTCGCGCAGAGCTACGTTGGTGTGGAAGTGGGCGTCGTTACATCTCAACTGGGTTTGAAAAACGATAGACGCAACCAGGTCATTATGGTTATGAGGTGGTACTACTGTAGGTTATCTCCCTAACACTAACTCGTTTTCAGTTGCATACATTTAACCCTAGACCCTAGGAACCCTAACTCTAAGAAGTTGTATACCAGAAACTGTGAATATGAGTAGTCATATGTTTGTTTTGGACATGTTCTTATTAAATATTCAAACTCATACCTGCGTATATAATATAAAAATGACTATATTTTTGATTACCCTTGTAATCATGACACAGGACCAGTTAGGGTACCTCTAATCCCCCACGTCCACTAATGGGAGTACCATTTGAGTTCCGTGTTTAGGCTAGTGCTGTTTCAGAGTTGGGTCAACTTGCAACCTCTTAAGAACCCGTTAGCTAAAGCCCGAGAGGAGCCACGTCATGACGTCAAGGGGTAAGCTGCCTTTCCTACAAATGCCCGAAAACATTTCCTGACAATGACGAAATGCGTCCAAGCTGTGCTCATGTTACTCTCACTCTTACAAAACAAGATTAAATTACATTCTTGAAAAAACAGCAATCTTTGTTTTTGCCTTCAGCTATTGCTGAATCTCTTGCAAGTACGAGAACATAGATCCATCCTCTGTGAGCCACTGCTTCACCTTTGCTGCATTCGTCTTTGTTTGTGTCGCTGTTAAATAAAACTTGGGGTTGCAATTGCTGTTGTTGCTCATGTTTAATCACGGCCCGAGCCTTTGACCGTGACTTCTGACGCTAGCCTCTTGACACTAGCCTCTTGACGGTAGCCTCTTGACGCTAGCCTCTGACGCTAGCCTCTGACGCTAGCCTCTGACGCTAGCCTCTGACGCTAGCCTTTGACGCTAGCCTCTGACGCTAGCCTCTGACGCTAGCCTCTGACCAACCCAGTCTCACAAAATGTATCTATTGATTCGTGTTCACCAACACGATTTCCCCATTTTTTTCATGTCACACAGAACGATTTTAAAAGCAATGTAAATAATAGCAAATTAGAAGGAAAAAAAGATTTAGGAAAAAAAACAGATGTCAGTATTCTGACACAGAACGATTTTTAAAGCAATGTATTTCTATTGGTAGTATGTTTCGTGCCTGCACCAAATAATAACAAATTAGAAGGAAATAAAGATTTAAAAAATACAGATTTCAGTATTCTGAGGCTCTGAGCCCCATATATTTTCCTCGCGGACGGCAAAAAAAGTCAGACATTATACAATTTAAAATAAAAACAATAATCGTGGCTTGATATTGAGTAAGAACATGTTTTTATGAACCACACAGCTTCTCGTCTTCCAAGACCCGACCGGACAAAAAGACGTGTTGCAGGCACGAAACATACTACCAATAGAAATACATGCTTTTAAAATCGTTCTGTGTGACACGAAAAAAAATAGATTGAATTATTTAGTGACTATTACACGAAATGCCGTGAGACTGGGTTGCTCTGACGCTAGCCTCTTGACGGTAGCCTCTGACGGTAGCTTCTTGACGGTAGCCTCTGACGCTAGCCTCTGATGGTAGCCTCTGACGGTAGCCTCTGACGCTAGCTTCTTGACGGTAGCCTCTGACGTAGGTGACTCTTGATGCTGACGCGGCAGAGTTTGGGCTAAAGTAAAACCAGTTTTCGGGGCTTAATGGTGGCGCCTCTGCTCTTAACCAGTCCTGGAACAGCACACGCGGAAAAGCACTTTACGGAAGTCAGGGTCATAAAGTTTACAAAGGGAGGACGTCAGGGTGGATAAACAATGCCAACAACTGCTTGTTGTAGATGTGAAGCTAAGAGACAACTGTGACTTATTTTAGCTTACATTCTGTTTGTTGCCCACATACTCAACTTACACATTTATTTATCTTTTGCAAAAACCAAACCATGCTGCCATGTAGCTCCAGTGGTGAAAGCTACTGATTTAGTCAGTGACCATGATTCCGTTCAGCTGGAATATTCAGTTTTAAAGATGCATTTGAACACCTGTAAGCAGAGCATCTAAAAAGCTTTAGAGCTTTAGATTCTGAAAATACTTCAGTTCAGATGCACACGTTGGAATTACACTTCTTAGTTTGAAACCTTTATAGTAGAAAACATTGATCATTCATGTTTGAGGTTGATGCAACAAAGCCAAAACTTGATCCCCGAAGCATCAAATATGATTACATTATCATTTAACATTAAGGTTATGAAGAGATGCAATTTCAAATGTGAGAATTTTAATTAAACTGAAGTTGAGTTGAGGTTTGCCAGGTACAGCTAAATAAATGGTTTCCTGCTCAGATTTGTATGTGTCTGAGTATTTTCAAAAGCACTATATAAAGGAAATGTATTATTATGTTTTAGGTAAATGGGTACAAAATTGACTACTGTGAAAGTGAGATAAAGTTTTAGAAGTATTTTAGAGCAAACCAAAGAAATAAACATGTCTTTAGTTAAGAAAGGGACTTCATCTGGCTGGAGCGGCAACAACCATCCAAAACAAGTATTGTTGTAACTAGAAAACGCATTTCCTGCTGAAAATGCGTGCGAATGCTGTAAACTGTGTACATTTGTTGCTGAATCTAGCTGAAAATGCAGAAAAAGCTGAATATGTTATTAGCTGAATGGTCTCTGTAGCTGCTTTTAGCTACAAAAACCAAGTAAGTGTGTTGCTGAACTTAGCGGAGAAATACAGAAAAGTGAAATGATTTGAATCAAAATTGTTACTGCTCAAATGCATTGCAATGACTTTGTTGAAAACTTAAACTGGAAGAGTAGGAAAAATAGTGAAGAAGCTTAATATTTAAAAGAAAATGTCTTAAAAGGTATAAACAACTAAATGTATAGCCTCAATGAATGAAGGAGTTATATATTAAATGTAAGTAGTAGTGAATGAATGTGTATTAAGAAGAGAAAAGTAAGTTAAAAAGGCTTTGAAAGCAGCAGAATATTTTAACTGCAAACTTTTTGAACTAACTTGATGGCGAGTGATCTGTCGCCATGGCAACGGCATTTGATTAAACCTCATAATATGCTTAGATGTGTTGATGGCTGCATCGTTACCAAACCTGTGAAGTTGTGGGCCGTTTGGAGCATTTTCCCTGAAGTTATGAGAAAACTGTGTTTCATGGTGAGCATTGTGTTGCCACGGCAACGGCATTTGAAGAAATCTCCAAACTGTCACATAGATGTCTTCATGGCTGGACTGTGAAGACACACGTGAAGTTTGAGCACTTTTTGAAGATTTTCATAGGAATTATAGCAATATCGTGTTTTATGGCGAGGGATGCGTTGCCATGACAACAGCTTTTGAGGAAAACTCACTATTGGCACAAAGACATGTTGAGGGCTGGACCATTAACCATTATCTGAAGTCTGGTGCTGTTTTGACCCTTTTCATAGGCATTACGACAACATTGTGTGTTTTTTCGCGAGGGATGCTTTTCATGGAAACGGCATATGGTGAGATCTCAGATTTGACGTAGAGCTGTTGAGGCATGGACCGGTGATATACAAGTGAAGATTGGGGGACGATCGGACCGTGTCAATTGGAGTTACAGCGACATCGTGTTTTATGGCGAGGGAACACCACATCATGTAACATCAGATTTGACGTAAAGCTGTTCAGGGCCACAGTGTTAACCATCATGTGATGTTTGGTGGCGTTCTGAGCATGTCAGTTGGAGTTATAACATCATCGTGTTCCATGACACAGGTGTTTATGTTTGAGACGTTTTGAAACATTTGTGCTTGAGCCCAGAGATCAAAGGTGTCCATGGTGATGTGCAGTAATCAGTGAGAGGAGAGCCTTTCCATTGATCTGAATGAGAGATAAACCTCTTACATGTGAACGTTTTGTTGAAGAACCGTTGCAGATATCGGTGACATTTCAACGCGTGAAGCGTCTCAGGACCCTGACTGATCTCCTGTCTGAGTCTGCTTTTTATATACTTTCAGGTCAATAATGTGGCCTTTTTGGCAGATTAACAAAGGTGTGCGGCTGCTGCTGTGAGGAAAGATCAGGCTGAATTTACAATGGGCCTTAATGGAGACATGTTGAAAGTTTTTGTTACTTCATGCCCTCAAGAGGCATTTTGTTTAATTATTTTTGCTTAATTATTTTAATTTTCCAAAGTAGGAGAGCTTTTCTTACATTTTTCTATGTCTCAGGAGCGTAGGGTTTGGGAATTATGGTAAGTTTAAAAAATATATATGAAGGCGAGTTTCAAGCTGTCCCCCACTCTAGCTGTGACATCACGCACTCTAGCCTTAACGAGCTGCGCAATACACACTAATGTTAAAATCTGAAGAAGGCCTCTCTACCAAGCTCCAAACTAAGTTAAATATCTCGAAAAGTGTAAAGGATATAAAAAATCTGAATAAGATTTTAATAGCTGAAGGTGTTGTGATCATTTTAACGTTGGAATTAAGTCTCTAGCTGAAAGTATGTGGAAGGAGTAGCATTTGGCGCAAGTCGTAGGTAAAAGAGGATTTGAAGGTTCCTCCCATTGAGTTACATGTTAAAAAAAGAGTTTAAAAAGCTGAATATTTCAAA